AAACATTTACTGCGTCATCCTGACGTCATGATGATGTCAGCAAGTCAATAGGGCTGGTCTGGGTCAAATCTGACCTGTGGGACCCATGTGTCAGTGACTAACTAAACTAACCTAGTTTAATTAGTACTAACCTAGTTTAAACTAATTAAATTTAAACCTAAACTAGATTAATTAGCCGGGCGGGGCCCGCATGTCATAGACCCAGGGGAGGTCAAATCCCCTGGTCAACCGGGCTAAACCACCGGCGTTGAGTCGCCGGCGAGGCCGAGACGGTGGAGGGCATCGGGATTCCTCCTCCGGCGACCAAATGGCCGGCGGAGGACATCTACGCATAGTCCAGGCTCTCGCGCATCCAAAGCAACAGGCGGCGGCAACTGGGGTGGCTGGAATCTTCGTCGGCATCGGCCGTGGCGGCTGCCGGAGCTCGGTTGAGCTCGGGGTCGAGGCTACAACGGCCGTGGCAATGCGGGGTTGGCACCTACGGCTTCTACGTGTTGCGGTGAGGATGTGGGTGTGCTCGGTTGGGTGCTACGGTGACTGTGGCCACGACGGCGAGGGCTCAGGCGGCGGCGCGTTTTGGTCGTCAGCGAAGCGGCGACTATGGCGAGGAAAAGAGCATGGGAGAGAGGGGAGAAGAGGCAGGGGCTCACGTAGGGTCGTTGACGGTCTTAGCGGGCTCGGGGAGGCGCGGACGGCGGCGAATCGACGACGGCGATCTCTGGGCAGAGGCGGCGAAGATGGCGGGGCAGAGGATGATGCAGGGCGTCCGGCGTCGGGCGGCTCGGTGAGGAGGAGGACAGGGACTAGGCGGAGCTCGTGGGCAGCTGCAGGGGGTGAGGGAGAGGCGGTGGCGTCGACTACGGCGGCGGCGGCTTACGGGCGCGTCGGCCGTTGCGGAAGAGAACGAGGGAGAGGGTAGAGGAGGGAAGAGTGGTGTCCAGGGGGTCGAGGCGGCACCGAGGAGAAGACGCGAGGCGTCGCGGTGGCCAGGCGGCGCAGGCAGGCAGCCTGGTGGCGTGGCGCCCGCGCGCGCGCCGTATGTTGTCCCTCCTCTGCCTACTGGCGGAGGTTGGGGATGACTGGCACCAGGCCAGGTGGGCTGGGCCAGCACAGGAGAGGCCCAGGTGGGCTTGGTGGGCGCTAGGCAAGTGCCCAGGTGAGTCTCTCTCTCTCTCTCTCTTATATTCTGTTTTTCTATTTTTCTGTAAGTTTGTGGCTTTATTAAAAATAGTTAGACATCTTCAAAAATCCTGAAAATAATCATAGGCTCTGTTTAGATTAATTCCAACAGCCCACACTTATTTCCAGAATTATTTGAGCATTTAAAATATTTACTAGCATTTAAATGCCCAAATGCAAAGTACATATGATTTAATTCAGTGACCAAATATGTCATGGAAAAATATGCAACACCTCTGGTTATGGTTCTAGCATTTTCCAGAAATGATGAACATTTTTGAAAGCCATTTGGATTCACTAAAAATATTTTTAGGTTGAACCTATTTGAATTCCATTTGGTACTAGGGTTTGGACATCCCCATTTCAAGTTTCTTTCAAAGTTTAAACATGATGCACACATGAAGTTAGCCTAGTGCAATGCCAGAAGCTAGGGATGTGACATTTTATATGCATTTATATATCATTTTATATGATTTTTGGGAATAACCTATTGACCTAGAGCCCAGAGCCAGTTTCTGTTTTCTCCTTGTTTTTGTGTTTTACAGAAAAGGGATACCAAACGGAGTCCAAATGACGTGCCAATTTTTGAGGATTTTTTATGGACCAAAAGAAGACCAGGAGCATCGGAGTTGGGCCAGAAGAGCTCCGGGCTGCCCACGAGATAGGAGGGCGCGCCCCTAGGGGGGGGCGCCCCCTGTCTCGTGGACGGCCCGGAGACCCCCCTGACGTGAAACCAACGCCAATAATTCCTATAAATATTGGAACTTTTGGGAATTAACCTAGATCGGAAGTTCCGCTGCCGCAAGCCTCTGTAGCTACGAGAAATCAATCTAGGCCCTCTCTAGCACCCTGCCGGAGGGGGCCATCATCACCGGAGTGCCATCAGGAGGGGAATCATCGCCGCAGTGATCGTCTTCATCAACATCACCATCATCATCACCATCCTCATCTCTTTTTCGCGGTCCACTCTCCCGCACCCCGCTGTAATCCCTACTTGAACATGGTGCTTTATGCTACATATTATGATCCAATGATGTGTTGCCATCATATGATGTTTTGAGTAGATATCTTTTGTCCTTGAGTTGATTGATGATCTAGATTGGTACAAGTTGTATGTTTTATCTTGGTGCTGTCCTATGGTGCCCTCCGTGTCGCGCAAGCGTGAGGGATTCCCGTTGTAGGGTGTTGCAATACGTTCATGATTCCCTTATAGTGGGTTGCTAGAGTGACAGAAGTTTAAACCCGAGTAAGGGGGTTGTTGCGTATGGGATAAAAGGGGACTTGATGCTTTAATGCTATGGTTGGGTTTTACCTTAATGAATCTTTTAGTATTTGCGGATGCTTGCTAGAGTTTCCAATCATAAGAGCATATGATCCAAGTAGGAAAAGTATGCTAGTTTATGCCTCTCCCTCATATGAAATTGCAATAGTGACTACCGGTCTTGTTAACAATTGCTTAGGACAATTTCCGCACAATGATCCACCATTATTCCACACTCGCTACTTATATTATTTAGTATTATATTCTAACTTTATGATAACAACACCTACTTTTATATTTTAGCTCTCCGTTATCATACAAAGTTATCCTCTTCATACCCACAACACAGTTTTATTTCTTGTTTCTAGTTGGAAGCAAACGTTCGGTGCATGTAGAGTCGTATCAGTGGCAGATAGGGCTTGAGAGAATATTGATCTTACCTTTAGCTCCTTGTGGGTTCGACACTCCATACTTATCACTTCCACCTTTGGGAATTGCTACGATGATTCCCTGCACTTGGGGATTATCAATTACCGAGAGGGCCGAGAGATACCTCTCCGACAATCAGAGTGACAAATCCTAATCTCGAAATACGCCAACCCAACAAGTACCTTCGGAGACACCTGTAGGGCACCTTTATAATCACCCAGTTACGTTGTGACGTTTGGTAGCATACAAAGTGTTCCTCTGGTAAACGGGAGTTGCATAATCTCATAGTCATAGGAACATGTATAAGTCATGAACAAAGCATTAGCAACATACTAAACGATCAAGTGCTAAGCTAACGGAATGGGTCAAGTCAATCACATCATTCTCCTAATTATGTGATCCCGTTAATCAAATGACAACCCATGTCTATGGCTAGGAAACATAACCATCTTTGATCAACGAGCTAGTCAAGTAAAGGCATACTAGTGACACTATGTTTGTCTATGTATTCACACATGTATTATGTTTCCGGTTAATACAATTCTAGCATGCATAATAAACATTTATCATGAAATAAGGAAATAAATAATAACTTTATTATTGCCTCTAGGGCATATTTCCTTCAGTAGGTGGTAGCACAACATTGTGCCCTCTAGAGGTGTGATGTCACAATGGTCCTACTAATTGCCAGGAGAGCTCGGTGGTGCCGGTGCCACATTGGCCTCCTTGGGCCTGGATCTGGCCTCTAAGGGGGTTGCAAGGTGGGTAGTGGTGGTCGCTGATGTAGGGGATCTCCTTGGGGGGGGGGGATGCATGGTGGCTATCACCTATAGGAGAGAAGCAGTGGGTTGGTGTCCTTGAGGCCAACATTAGTTGGCGGTGAGGCCCATGTTGGTGAGTGTCCCCTCTTAATCAACAACGAGCCGTGGCTCCCTCTTTGTGGTGGTGGTGGTACTAGTAGGCGACCTGCTTCCTTGTCTCGATCAATCTTCGGGGATTAGTGATCATGGCCAATGCGAAATTCATGCTTAGCGATGACTGATGCATGTCGACGTTGTCTTCTCATGGGAGGCATGTTCATGGTCCTGGCTTATTCCCCTCCCTTCTTGAGCCCATGGGAAACCCTAGGTCCATTTTCCCTAGACCATGCAGTGGAGCGCTACTACGACGTCATTCTCTTCTTTAAGCCCTCATGGGTTGTTGCGGAGCCTAGATGTGACATATGTAGATTTTGGCATGTCTAATCTCCACTAGCGTGGCTTCGTGGCTTTGTGTTGCCTTTGGGTTGGCCAAGGTGACAGTGTGTGGGCCTCTAGGTATGATGTACACCATCACCAGCGCATACATTCTTAAGTTCCGGGTTTGGCTGGGTCCTGCCATCCACGACCATAAGTCTCCCTAGGAGCGGGGATGGGGGCACTGCATTGACCTAAGCAACATTGGAGTCGTGGTCATGCTATGTAGATATCTAGCAATGGTCGTGATACCACTTGTATGTTGGGTATCCCACTTCCTTGCTTTTCACGGCTAGAGGCTGGACAAGGCAAGTTTTTTTATTGTTGTGGTATTAATGAGAGTGCATTGTCAACCCAAGGCATAGTAGTGGCTATTCTCCTGAGCAAATGATACATCTTTCCATCATCCCATGATGTATACATCGAGGTTTTTGAACCAGTGAACAATCACTGTTGACACCAGAACGAGCCGTTGGACGGGGGAGAGTTCATGTGCTGGCCAGGGAAGCTTGGATGGGAGGAGAAGTTTGTTCTAGACGCCTTAACGTATACAATCTGATCCTTCAAGTTCCCATGAATTATGTCTTCCCATGATGTATTGTAGAGGAAAAAGAAATAGGGGGCGTGATGGCACAAACTCGCTCTTGATCAGTTGATGTCAAAGCACGGTCCACGAGAGGTTGCAACGTGTTTTCAGTATGCAAATCGTAATAAACATCATTTAAAAAAAACGCATGCAGACACAACCTTGCAACCTAACCTACAACCTTCCCCCATATGAATATCTGTCCCCGCGGCTCCCGGGGAAAGCATGCGTTACTTGCCATCGCTGCAGCTCCATATATACAAGGAAATCAATCGAGCATACCACCTGCAAGCAGTAGCAACCGAGAGAGATGTCCATGGCCGCCGCAGCAGCAGCGATCGTGGCGGTGCTCGTGGCCGCGTTAATGGCACGAGCGTTGTCGGCGGCGTCGGCAGCAGGAAGAGTCTGGGTCGACGAGGAGAAGGGAGCACATAACGGCACGGCGAGAAGACAGGTCACGTACGACGGCAGAAGCCTGATGCTGGACGGCGCCAGGAGGATGCTCTTCTCCGGCGACATACATTACCCAAGGAGCACGCCTGAGGTACGCATGTACCGATACCTGGGTTGATATGTTTCATGCGTGCCATCTTGTACTGATTCTTATTTATTTTTCTTGCTTAAAAGTGGATTCCATCATTTTAATTTTGAGATTTATGTTACGATTTTCGACCTCGTACGCAGATCGAGATTTGTGTTCAAGTATTCACTATGAAGTACGGAGTAGTTTAGTAAAGCTTTATTATGTCGAGCAACAAACTGTGCAGTTTTCAGTTAATTTTCAACAAGCTTTCTTGTACTGATTGATAGGTTTCGTGCGTGTCATTTTGTACTGTTTCTTTTTTGCTTAGAAGTGGATTCCATCATTTCAATTTGGAAACACTGGGCACCTTTTCTGAGTGTTTAAATAACTGAAGCGATTCACATAATCAGTCCATCGACCACAAAAGGCGCACTTTTGTTTTTCAATGCGTCTCACTTTTTCATCCAACATGGAAGAGTGACAGGTAAATGCTGCCGCGGCTGTCGACGCCAAATAAGACATCATTTCAAGCATTTGTTAATTAAAGTAAATTTATGATTGCTGCACTACAGCAAAGTCCAACTCACTACATAAACAGATTAGTTCAGTCAGTTTCCTTCAGCAATCAAATTAGTTCAGTCAATACATACATACATACAGTAAGCAATCAAGCATGCACCACGAATCATACTGTATGAAGCACAAAACTCAGTTCCTTTCCTTCAAACTAACGTACAATCCAACTACAGATGTGGCCGAGACTCATAGAGAGCGCCAGGGAAGGTGGCCTGGATGTCATACAGACATACGTCTTCTGGAATGTCCATGAGCCTATACAGGGTCAGGTGGGTGCTCCTTGCACAACAACAGCAGGCAAAAGTTCAGTAAAAGAGCATTTTGCAGCTAAGAGTGTTCAAATTCATTTTTAATGTACCAGTACAACTTCGAAGGAAGATACGATCTTGTGAAGTTCATCAGAGAAATCCATGCCCAAGGCCTCTATGTGAGCCTCCGTGTCGGCCCCTTCGTCGAGGCAGAATGGAAATACGGGTAACGAGATGATGCATGAATACGCAGGGAAGAGTTTCATTTCTATGGTGTCCTGAACATGTAAAGCTTTTACTGGATCTTTTATTCATGCAGAGGCTTGCCATTTTGGTTGCGTGGTGTCCCAAACATTACCTTCAGATGCAACAATGAACCCTACAAGGTATCCAACTACCCAACGCAGTGCCTTTGAAACCTTGAACAATGCTATATGGTCTGCAAGACTGCAACCATAGAAGAGAATCTCTGGATTATTCAGAATGAAAATACCATTTCTTGTTTCCTCCAATCCTCTGTTCCACATGGTAAAATGAATTATAGTATTAACATATATTCAGAATAGTTTTCCATCGTGGTTCTAGCTTGTAAAACATCGTACTACCCTCAGAAACCCATTAGCATGACTAAAAATGTCACATGATGCATTTAAGCAAGCATAAAAGAGATGACAAATGTTTGTCAGGTACAAGTATAACACACAGGTGAAAACAGATGTCATGTATGAAGTGAGAGTGGTAGGTTCCATACAGATTTACCAACCTCACTGTCAGAAACAAACGGTACAAGAAAACTGAAAATATGCATCTACAAGAATACAGAGGCTGTTTGGTTTGAGGAACCAGATGATGAATTGTCCATGCAATCCTAGAGTTACATTATTTCATGCTAAACTATCATGGTAGATTACTCATATTTAAATACTGAATGCAGGTACATATGCAAAAATTTGTTGCTAAAATTGTTAACATGATGAAGGATGAAAAATTATACTATCCACAAGGAGGTCCCATAATCATATCACAGGTATTTCAGTTCAACAGTACTTATCCCTTGTGTTATGTATTAGATGACCTTTTTGTGCAACCCTGAAATTTAACCTGCAGATTGAGAACGAATATAAGCTAGTCGAGGCAGCATTTCGTTCAAGGGGACCACCTTATGTTCGCTGGGCAGCGGCAATGGCTGTAAACCTCCAGACAGGCATTCCATGGATGATGTGCAAACAGGACGATGCTCCAGATCCAATCGTCAGTGCCCTTTCTTATACCATTATGCAGGATTACAGATTATCCACAATTTAGCAGTGTAACATTCATTACATGGTTAGATTAATACATGCAACGGGCTCATCTGCGGGGAAACATTTCATGGGCCAAATTCGCATAACAAGCCAGCTTTATGGACCGAAAACTGGACATCTCGGTGCGACAAATACTCTTTGTTTTTCTTCTGAGGATCTTAAACATTCCCAGGGGTACAAGGCCTAACACACAAGTTTCTCTGCGTACAGCTATCCTTTATATGGTCATGACCCAAGATTCAGATCACCAGCAGATATTGCCTTCGCAGTTGCACTTTTTATAGCAAGAAAAAAAGGAAGCTTTGTAAGCTACTATATGGTACAGCCTACAAGCCTATGAACTTTAAGGAGCTGCCCTAAGATCTCTCAGCAAATCTATTTAGTATTTTTTTTCACGATCTCATAAATTACGGATTATGATGCAGTATCATGGCGGGACAAACTTTGGGAGGTTTGCATCCTCCTATGTAACAACAAGCTACTATGATGGAGCTCCACTTGATGAATATGGCAAGTATTTCTTCTGTTGCGAGCTATCATATTTTAAAAGCAACCATTCAAACTTCTTGTAATATAAAATATTATAACATGAGCATAGTCCACTAACAAGGCACATAAAATCAAACCATGTAACATGTCTAGTCAAAAACTGATGACCTGTGAAATCCACATGAATGACAGATCTTGAGAACACTCTAATTTGGAACGATAATTGATTAGTATATACATATGATGTTTGAACTACCAAGCATACATCCAGGTTTAATATGGCAATCGACATGGTCTCATCTCAGAGAATTGCATGCTGCAATCAAGCAATCTGAAGAACCACTACTTTCAGGAGCATATTCTAATTACTCATTTGGTGAGCAACAAGAGGTGAATTTGTGTGCAGAGTGAAACGAAACTAGGTGTACTTTATTTTCAGTAAAATTCCATTGATTTATGGGGCTAACTTTTGGCATACTACAGGGGCATGTTTTTAAAACCGAGTCCAACTGTGTGGCTTTCCTAGTGAACTTGGACAAGCATAAAGCATCAAATATCCAATTTGGTGAAGCATCATTCCAGCTAGCTCCTAAATCAATAAGTATCCTCTCAAGTTGCAGGAGGGTAGTATTTGAAACAGCCAAGGTGAGCCAGTTACCTTCAATTCTTCAGCGATTGAAGACCTCAAGGGAGTGCTTCGTTTATCAGTTTTACTTTTGGCAGATAAATGCACAGCATGGTTTAAGAACAGCACAAGCAGTCCAGTCTCTGAACAATGTTGATAGCTGGAAAGTATTCAAAGAACCGATTCCTCTGGCGATAAACAACAGTACACACATTGGAAATCGATTTTTTGAACATCTCTCAACTACAAAAGATGAGACAGATTATCTCTGGTACCTTACTAGGTAAGATGGATGAGCTCCAGCTTGTTTAATGGTTTAATATTTACATCATTTTTTAATACCTCATCCTGCCCACATTAATAATAAAATAATGGAAATCATGCAGATATGATTATAGATCAAGTGGGAATAGCCAGCTAGTGCTTAATGTGGAGTCACAAGCCCATGTTTTACATGCTTACATCAACAATGATTATGCAGGTAAGTACAATAATACTATCTCAGTGCAATTTATAGAAAGCACCAACTGAATATGCAAAATTGAAAATTCTTCAACTATTACCCACTTATGTATCTACTATGTTTGTTATCTTCTTCCATATGTGATTAGGTACTGTGCATGGGAGTCACGATGGACCTAGAAATATTGTTCTCAAGACACCTATTACACTAAGGGAAGGACAAAACTCCATTTCACTGCTTAGTGTCATGGTTGGATCACCGGTATGACTTTTATTTAACTGTATAGGCTCAAATACGAAGACAATGACAATAATAAAAACATAAAATCAAGGAGAATATGAGGTGTGATCCAAATTGCAGTGCAATAAATTCGTCAGCAGAGCAATGGTTTGTGTTGAATAAAATGCTTATGTGTATAAAATGCCAATTCTGTTATTCAGATTTTACAGCTTATATGAATAAAATGCTGAACACAATTTTAACAAACATAAATATACATAAATCCCTGACAGATATTTCAACATATGGACAAGTCAGCTTAACCAAGAAAGAGGTTCACTAAAAAATCATTGTTGTTTGTTCCTTAACTGGAAATTAAGTGCAACGATTTTTTTGTTTGTGTCAACAATACGCACCACCCAAGCTGTGCTAGTGGGCCCCAAAAGAAGATACTCATTTGACTCTACATAATAAGCATTAATAGAAATTAAGCACAACAAAGAGATTTAGAAAAGCACGTTACCTACTGTTTGTAACAAATTGACTTTTCATCTAACAAGTAAAGGACTCGGGGGCATACATGGAGCGAAGAATCTTCGGAGTTCGTAAAGTGAGCATACAACAAGGACACCACAAATCACGTTCTCTGAATAATGAGCTGTGGAAACACCAAGTAAATCCAGGTCAACACTGATTCTGAATCGATAGATCAGTCTCAGATTCAAATTTTCAAGCAATTACGTTTGTGCAGATTGGCTTATCTGGAGAAATGAACCATATATACACGCGGGAAGGATCATCTCGTGCTCAATGGACTGCCATCAATAAGTCCATGCACCTTCCACTTATCTGGTACAAGGTACATCAAATGTACATAAGCCTTGAATCCTGACAGACTTCAGTTACATGTTCATTCCACAGTGATAGTAACCGACAGCTTCGGGAAATTGTTGTCGTTTGGTGCAGACGACATTTGACACACCATGGGGGAATGACCCAGTCACGCTGAACCTCAGTAGTATGGGCAAGGGTGAGGTGTGGGTCAATGGAGAGAGCATCGGACGGTATTGGGCCTCCTTCAAAACCCCTAGCGGACAGCCATCCCAGTCCTTGTCAGTACTACAACTAGTTCCTACTAGTGACACAAATTCCTTTCTTGAACTCGTATGACGAACATTGAACAACAATTGATGTCTCATTTGCTTCCTTTTCTGAAGGTACCACATACCACAATACTTTATGAAGCCTAGAGAGAACACCCTCGTCCTCATGGAGGAAATTGGTGGTGATCCGCTACAGATAACTGTGAACACAGTTTCAGTTACCAGAGTATACAGTAGTGTGAATGAGTTATCTACCCCGTCACTGTTGTCACGCAGAAAGCACCCAGCAGTTCGACTCCGGTGTCAGCAAGGCAAACGCATCACGGATATTGAGTTTGCGAGCTACGGAAATCCGGTCGAGGACTGCAGAAGCTCCAGCAGGAGCTGCCTCGGGAGTTGCCACGCAGAGACGACGGAGTTTGTCGTAAAGGATGTAAGACCCTCTGCCTTTCCAGAAGTTGCATGTTGATATCATAATGCACTATCCTATTACCACTGCAATCCTAAAAACTTGGGTGCTTGTTTTACCCTTTCAGGCTTGCCTAGGCAGAAGGAAGTGCGCAATTCCGGTACGGCCTGCCAAGTTTGGAGGCGACCCGTGCCCTGGGATCGAAAAAACACTTTCAGTTGTGGCAAGCTGCGGATGAGTATGATGGGAATTTCCACTATCATACTGTGACTAACCAACATTCAGTTTGCACGAGTTTGTTGTCACAGGGTCCAAACACTGTACCAAATCACAGGCTATAGAACTACAGATAGAGCAGTATTGTATCCACATGTTAAAATGTACAGGAGAAGTAGAGTTACACGCACCAATTTTACTGCAGAAATTTGTTGGACTTCGCCGAGAGAAAGCAGTTCTTTCACTTGGCATCTAATCCTACGAAACTACAACCACTGCAGAAGATGGAAACCGAATAAATTAGAGAGAATAATCCAGCTTCACCTTAAACGTAGGATTGTAGAGTGCGCCTAATTAGCGGGTATCAGATGTACCCGCGTTCTTCCTCGCCCGTCCGGAGGTGAGTAGCAATGGCTTCGCATGTGGGCGGAGACGCGGAGGCAGTTGGAAATCTGCCACTGCCACCACGGCCAAGCCGCCGCCGCCGTCATCCCGCTGCCGCCGCCCCGAGACGCGCTCGACCGGTGGCCCCGCGCCCCGACGCCAGGCCCGCCGATGGAAGGGAGCGGCTGCCCTTTAGTTTACAAAAAAGTTTACAGTTTCAAGCTGTGTCCACGTATTCCACCGTTTACGCTTTCGTATGGATATTACGCCAAAGGGAGTAAGAGCAACTCCAACTGGCAGACCCAAACGGACAAAGATTTTGTCCCGCATTTTGTCTGTTTGGGTCGGCAAAACGGAAATCCGTGTCCGCTTTTGTATTTGGATCAGCTGATGTGCCCAACGGGGTGCACACCCATTTTGGACATGTATGACCCATTTTGGACATGTATGTCCCGACATTTCATCAAACACCTGATGGTCCGCCGCGCTCGCCATGCTTCTGACGCGCCTGCAGCCGCGCTTGTGCTCCTGCCGTGCTCGCCGCCACGCCCGACGCCGCGCCCGCATCCTACCTTGCCCGCGTCCGCCGCCCGCGCACCCCGCGCTCACCTGCTACCACGCCGCGCCTGCGTCCGCGTCCTGCCGCGCGCGCCACCGTGCCCGCGTCCTGCCTCGTCCGCGTCCAACCGCCACCACGCAGCGCGAGCGCGGCGGTGCATGGCGAGCGGGGCTACCGGCCTGGTCACCGTGACCGACGAGGACGCCGACCAGGACTCGCCGAGCCTGGCCACGCGCATCGCGGGCTGCTTCAACTTCCACTGGATCCTCTTCGACGCGCTCGACACATCCGCACCCAGGGACAGCCCGCGGCGGCTGGAGCACGAGGCGGCCGTCGGCCAGGAGATCGAGAGCGTCGTTGGCGACGACGGCACAGAGCGGTCCGAGTCTGGCGCGAGGCTTGCGGAGAGGATGCGCCGCAAAGGATTCGCCGGTGTGGGGTTCGGCGAGCACGAGGTGGCCGACGCGCGTGCGGCGGCGATGCAGGGCGAGCGCGGTGGCGCGCGGCGCGGCGCGGCGCGGCAGGCTGCTGCTAGCTAGCTAGCTCGCTTGCATGCACGCAGCGGTGCACGCAGGCCCGTGCTAGCTAGCTTGCTTGCATGCACGCAGTGGTGCACGTAGGCGCGCGGCTAATGCCAGCTAGCTAGCTCGTATGCACGCAAGGCCCGGGCAGAGTAGCTCCGGCAGGGACGGGGGACGGGCGCCGGGCGGGGAGTAGCTCCGGGCGCCGGCGAGAAGTAGCTCCGGGCGCCGGCGAGAAGCACAACGCGGGACGAGATGTGGTACGTGGGTGGTGGGCCAGTACAGAGAAAAGTAGGACAGAGAAGTGAGCCTGTGACAAGTAGGCCATACCTCGCATGCAGCGGACGGAGCGGACGGAGCGGACGAGGAGCACGCAGCCGTGGACCCAAATGCAACCCAAATTTGAGACCGAAATAGGTCCGAGCGTACACAAAACAGACAAGAAATGAAAAAGTGTCCGAGCGTTGGACAGTCATTTTTGTCCGCGCGAACCAAACGGACACGAGCGGACGAAATGGGTCGTCCCATTGGAGTTGCTCTAACGAAGGAGTGCCGAAGGAAAAGGTTTAGAACTTGAGATGCGTGCCATTGATTTCTAGAATTTGGTTTATTTTGGACCAACCCAATAGGCATTTCAAAATTCCTAATAAACTTTAGAGGTCCATTTAGCCCATTCGTGCAAGGCAAGAGCTGGGTTAATCCCACATTGCTAGTTTGATAGGAGCTGGACCTCCTTGGAGCATATACAACCGGACCCCTCAAACCCGTCTCAAACGCCCGGGCAGGCCGCCCGATCACGATATTTGGACCTAGACGGGCCCCTCAAACGGCCCTCAAACGCCTGGACTGACCGACACACCCCATATCTAGCCCAAATATGGGGCACCCTCCGCGTCGTCCGGCTCGCAGCTCCGCCACTGCGGCCGCTCCGCAGGCGTTCCAAGGCTCTCCGCCGCCAGCTCCGGGAGAGCGCTCCCGCCCTCGCCTCGGGGGACATCGTTGCCGGCCCGGACGCCACCGTGGTACGCCCAGCAACTCTCCGGCTCTGCCTTGCGCTTGATGTGTTCGACACATTGACGGACCGGAATTGTTGTGATTTTTGGTAGGTAAATGATGGATTCCGATGCTTCATCGGACGAGGAGTATGGACCGACAGAGCTTGACCAAATGTTTCAAGATGAGTTCTTTGATTCGTCGGATTCGGACGAAGAAATGGACATGAGCATGCTCATGAGCATGCAAGAGGAAATGGACCGTCAAGTGGAGAATATTCTCAACTTCAGGGCTCAATCAAAGGGAGAAGACTGATCAATCGGTACAGGGTGTCCAGAGAAAATCTACTGCACAATGACTACTTTGCTCCCACACCTTCTTTCCCGGATGATCCATGGTTTTGTCACCGTTTTCACATGTGGAAATCATTGTTTTTGCGCATTGTGGAGGGAATGGAGGCACACGACGACTACTTCAAGCTGAGAAGGGATTGATGCGATCAATTCTTTTTCTCGGCCAAGCAAAAGTGCACGACTGCTCTGAGGATGCTTGCATTTGGTACTGCTGCAGATGCCATTGGTGAGATGATCATGATGGGGGAGAGCACGTGCCTGAAGACTACTATCAAATTTCCGCGCGTGGTTGAGGTGTTTGGACCAGAGTATCTCAAAGAACCAAATGCAGAGGACACAGAGAAGTTGTTGGCTATTGGAGAGGCAAGGGGGTTCCCAGGAATGCTCGGATCAATTGATTGCATGCATTGGCAATGGAAAAACTACCCCAAAGGTCTGCGGGGAATGTATCAAGGTCACACCAGAGAGGCCACCATCATACTAGAAGCGGTGGCATCACATGACTTATGGATCTGGCACGCTTTCTTTAGAATGCCCGGTTCTCACAACGACATCAATGTGCTTCAACGATCTCCGGTGTTCAGGAGGCTTTGCAAATGGGAATCACCGCAGTGCAACTACACCATCAACGCCCGGGACTACAACATGGGGTACTATCTTGCCTATGGTATCTATCCTCTGTGGGCAGCATTTGTAAAGACCATATCCGAGCCGCGTGGCAACAAACAGAGCCACTTTGTAACAATGCAGGAAGCGACTAGGAAGGACGTGCAGAGGGAATTTGGTGTGCTTCAGGCTCGTTGGGGAATTGTGCGGAGCGCTGCAATGATGTGGGAATCAGAAACTTTGTGGAAGCTGATGACATTTTGTGTTATTCTGCACAATATGATTGTCGAGGATGAGGGTGATGGTGTAGCCCAAACCCATGATTTTGAAGTACCCGGAGAACAAGTTGAAATCCCGGGAGATCAAGATGCGGCTCAACTTATGAACTTTCCGTAGATGCATTAGAATCTTTGAGACCAGCAGGTGCACACACAACTACTCAATGATCTTGTGGAGCACATGTGGATCCACAATGGCAACTAAGGAAGCAGTGCTTGAGTTTGGCAACATCTATTTATGTGCGACATTGTGTTGCATGATCGACGTGCATGTAATTGCATGGATTGGAGAGTCCAGATTTGAGATATGTGGATGCACAGAACAAAATATGAGGGCCCGTCCGGATGCGCCTGCGAGCGTGCCCGGGTGCGTCCGCGAATGTTTGAGGGGCCGGATTTGCCAAGTCCGGCTGAGATGCTCTTATAAGGGAGTATGTTTCTCCACATGTATGAGCATGAGAACAATAGAGACATTCACGACATGGCCGGTGAGGACGTCGACACCAAAACCAATGCTTTTGTCACAGCTCTGTACGTCTTCGCGTTCTTTCTGTTTAATATCCTGCCACAGTTTCATATTCACTACTTCAAATGTCATTTGCATACTCTCCGTCGGATTGCATGACTTGTCTTATCTCTGCTATGATAGTCATGTTTTATGTACTATTTTTGTTAATAAAATCATATTGTAAATTGATCATATTTCCAACAACCCCAAAACCTTATCATAGGCAATTTACCCCGAGTGGTTTTGCTGCTTCCATGAGGCCTCCTAAGTTTGAGGGTGTGCACTATAAGAGGTGGTGTGTGAGAGACGTTTTATGGTTTCAAACCATGAGCTGCTATGATGCCACTCTTGGGAAACCTGAAGGGGTTCTTGATTCTCAGTAGGAACAAACTTTAATATCCTACCACAGTTTCTTGTCCTAACTTCTGTTCTACATATGTTCTGTTCATATTCACTACTTCAAATGCCATTTGCATACTCTCTGTTCGATTGCATGACTTGTCTTATCTCCGCTATGATAGTCATGTTTTATCTACTATTTTTGTTAATAAAATAATATGGTAAATTGCTCATATTTCTAATAATCCAAAAAATTTATCATAGGAAATTTACCCCGAGTGGTTTTGCTGCTTCCATGAGGCCTCCTATGTTTGAGGGTGTGCACTAGAAGAGGTGGCGTGTGAGAGCCGTTCTATGGTTTCAAACCATGAGCTGCTATGACGCCACTCTTGGGAAACCTGAAGGAGTTCTTGATTCTCAGCAGGAACAAGCTTTTCAAAAAACTGATACCTTGTTTAAGGCTGCTCTCTTGAGTGTTTTTGGTGAGAACATAGTTGATGATTATGCGTCAATTGGTAATGGCAAAGATATGTGGGACGCACTCGAGGCCAAGTTTGGGGGTCTCAGATGCCGCCACTAAGCTATATATCATGGAACAATTCTATGACTACAGGATGACTGATGAGCGCTCCGTGGTTGAGCAAGTTCATGAGATACACTCATTTGCTAGAGAATTTGAGCACTTCAATCGTATGTTACGGGACAAGTTTGTTACCAGAGGCATCATCACTAAGCTTCTCTCTCGTGGAGGAACTTTGCTACCTCTCTGAAGCATAAGAGGCAGGAGTTTTCCATTTAGGATCTCATTGGTACTCTTGATGTGGAAGAGAAGGCGAGAGCGAAAGACATACGTGCTCGAGGTATTGAGGGAGGGTCTAGTGGCAATCTAGTACAGAAGAAAAACTTCCAGCCCCACAAGTTCAAGAACAAGGGCAAGTTTTATGGTAAAGGGAAGTTTGATGGGAAGAACAAGGCTTGGCAGCACATCCACTTCAAGAAGAAGACTGATAAGAACAAAGGAGTTTACCATGTGTGCGGAGATCCTGATCATTGGGCTCCTAGTTGCCATCCGTTCTGACAAGCGTCTGTTGGGGAACGTAGTAATTTCAAAAAATTCCTACGCACACGCAAGATCATGGTGATGCATAGCAACGAGAAGGGAGAGTATTGTCCATGCACCCTCGTAGACCGAAAGCGGAAGCGTTAGAACAATGCGGTTGATGTAGTCGTACGTCTTCACGATCCGACCGATCCAAGTACCGAACGTACGGCACCTCCGAGTTCAGCACACGTTCATCTCGATGATGATCCCCGGACTCCGATCCAGCAGGGTGTCGGGGAAGAGTTCCGTCAGCAGGACGGCGTGGTGACGGTGATGATGTTCTACCGACGCAGGGCTTCGCCTAAGCACCGCTACGATATGACCGAGGTGGAATATGGTGGAGGGGGGCACCGCATACGGCTAAGGAACGATCACGAAGATTAACTTGTGTGTTATGGGGTGCCCCCTGCCCCCGTATATAAAGGAGGGAGGGGGGAGGTGCGGCCGGCCCCTAGGGGTGCTCCTGGAGGAGTCCTACTCCCACCGGGAGTAGGACTCCCCCCCTCTTGCCTTGTCGGAGAAGGAAGGGGGAAGGGGGAAAGAGGAAAGGGGGGCGCCCCCCCCCCCTTCCTTGTCCTATTCGGACTAGGGGGGAGGTGGCGCGCGGCCTGCCCTGGCCGGCCCTCCTCTTCTCCCTTAGGGCCCATGTAGGCCCATTAACCCCCCCGGGGGGGGGGGGGTTCCGGTAACCCCCCAGTACTCCGGTAAAATCCCGATTTCACCCGGAACGATTCTGATATCCAAATATAGGCTTCCAATATATAAATCTTTATGTCTCAACCATTTCGAGACTCCTCGTCATGTCCGTGATCACATCCGGGACTCCAAACAACCTTCGG